AGCCATATATACAAGAAACAGACATGTTCCGTATTGAACAACTAACAACATAGTTAAATAGGAGAGAAGAGTAACAACTGAGACGCCTCATTAATGACGTCAACATTCTAGCCGAACTACCCGTAACAAGTCTTAATTAGCTTCCATTGCTACCTATAATTGTCTTCTCCCCCCCCCCATGATAATCAGTAATGTGAGGTTGTCCTCGTGCTATATGTAGTTCGCTGTATATGTATATATATGTAACTTTTGTGTGTCTGTGATCAAGCATTTCTTCAAGTATCTATGTGTTAAACATTTTCTCAAGTATATGTATTTACACATGCATATAAGAATGTTATGAGGTGTAATTATGTGTGTGTGGACTACCTAGTTGAGCTCTGGCTCTTTGGTCCCGCCTCTCAACTGTCAATCATTTTTCTGAGCTCATTAAAACACTGAAATTCTTCTTTAGTCATATAAATTATTGGAACAAACTTATTCACCTGGTCATATAATATTGAAACAAATAATTATTCTATCCACTGAAGACAGTGGAATAAATCCCTGAACCATTTTTATAGATCCGAATAAATTTTCCCTTGAGTCAAATTCAATATGTGGAATAAATTGCTGCCTTCATAACACTGTGCCCAATCACTTCACCAGCCATCTAAAACTAATAAATTATCCCAGTGTCATATAAATTTAACATTGATATAAATCGCTGTCCCAGCAATAAAATACACATTGTAACAAACTTGTTCACCAGTCATATAAACAATAATATATTCAACCCCATCCCCCCCCCCCTAGCCACGTGAAATAAATTAAATAAATCCTTTCCCAGTCAGATAAAACGCTGGCAAAAGTCCCCCACTAGGTTGACACCTTTTAAGACCCGAGTTCTAGGTCTAATATGGTTGAGGATCCAATTGTGAGGAGAGAGAGAGAGAGAGAGAGGTGCAGGGAGCGAGGGGTGTATAGTGTGGGGTGGGGGTGTGAATGCGTCTTGAAGCAAGTCTGTGTGTGGTGGTGTGGTGGACACGACGTCCGTGTCCACCACAGCCACGGCAATAATGGGTCACCACCACCACCACCACACCACCACATGGGAGCTTCCCCGGGACTATCAAAGGATTGGTGCGTGTCTAATGTGCGTGCCTTCTGCATGATGGGGTGGTAGGGAGGGGGGGGGAGGGTATGTGTGTGTGTGTGGGGTTGGGGGTATGTGTGTTTTGGTGGGGAGGGGGAGGGAAAGGTGTATGTGTAGACGTGTGTGGTTTGTGTGTGTACTCGCCTAGTTGTATTCACCTAGTCGTGATTGCGGGGGTTGATCTCTGGCTCTTTGGCCCCGGGCCACACACACACACACACACACACACACACACACACACACACACACACACACACACACATGATCACAACCTACAAAATCCTCAGAGGAATCGACCGGGTAAACAAGGATAAACTATTCAACACTGGTGGGACGCGAACAAGGGGACACAGGTGGAAACTGAGTACCCACATGAGCCACAGAGACGTTAGAAGGAACTTTTTCAGTGTCAGAGTAGTTAACGGACGGAATGCATTAGGCAGTGATGTGGTGGAGGCTGACTCCATACACAGTTTATAATGTAGATATGATAGAGCCCAGTAGGCTCAGGAATCTGTACACCAGTTGATTGACAGTTGAGAGGCGGGACCAAAGAGCCAAAGCTCAACCCCCGCAAGCACAAATAGGTGAGTACACACACACACACACCAGGTGTAACGTGGGACAGTAAAGGTGGGGGGGCATGTGTAAAGCAGCCCGTAGCAGCTGTCTGACTCCCAGGTACCTATTTACTACCAGGAGAACAAGTCCATCAGGGTAAAAGAAATTGCCCATTTGTCTCCGCCTCCACCAGGGATCGAACCCGGAACCACAGGACTATGAATCCTAAGCGCTGCCCACCCATCTGTCAGGCATCAACACACAGGGATCCCAGTTAAGTCACAAAGAATATATACATATTCTATACATATATATAATATATAAGGTCGATATATGATATATATCGACCTTTCTAATTCAGGAAATTGTTTCTTGAGACGCAGAGATAGTCTTGTTAAGTGGGTAGTTACATCGTCCTTGTGGTCACTGGAACCTGGCACAGG